TCAACAAAGTTAACTTCACTAGGTCCTATCAATGTAGAAGTCAGCTGTTGTAACAAAACATTCCTATTTTATTTTTTGTGTCAATAAACTGCTTAAACACAATGTCAGATTTCCTTCAAATCTGTTGACAAATTGACAAAATGTTGCCTTGGAATTTTTCAGCTGTTGTGACAGAACAGAATGATTAGCAATATTGGGAAACAGGAGAGGGGAAAGATGAATATGGGTTTCATTCTGAACCTGCAGACAAGATCTAAGAAGAAACTAGATTTCTGAGGTTTCTAGACAAGAATTCCTGTCTACTCTCAACTACCAAAGAATGAGATTTGAGATTTTTTCAGTTTGTTAACATGATGATATTCCATCCCACTGTATTTAAAGATATCATTGGCCAGGCTCGGTGGCTCAGCCTGTAATTCCAGCACTTTGGGAGGCTGAGGCGAGTGGATTGCCTGAACCCGTGGGTTTGAGACCAGCCTGGGCAACTTGTCAAGACCTCGTGTCTACAATAAAGCAAAAATTAGCTGGGCGTGGGAGCACATGCCTGTATTCTGGCTACTTGGAAGGCTGAGGCGGAAGGATCACCGGAGCCCAGCAGGTCAATGCTGAGGTGGCCGTGAGCGTGCCATTGCACTCTAGCCTGGGCGATGGAGTAAGACTCCAACTCACAAAAAAATAAAAAAGATATTATTGTACTGATAAAAGGATTACAACTATACAGACAACAATATAGTCTTACAAATTATAACAAGAAAATGCTACTTTTGGTTGATTCAGACTGGCAAATAGTTGAACAAATTGATAATACCCAGTATTGGCAAGTCTACAGGGAAAAGAGCATCCCTGTCTCTCTGAAGGACAGTTTGGCAGCATGTGAAAAAATTTTAAGCAAGAACTCTTTACTCAGCAAATTTACTTCAATGATTTCCGTCTAAGGACATAAACAGACAAATGTGTAAATATATATGTAAGAATGTTTATTATAATGTTGTTTATAAAAGCAAAGTGTTAAGCAAAAAGCCTAAATGTCCATCCAGTGGGAGATAAATGTCCAAACAGTAGACTATTAGTTTCAGAAAGCATGGCTCACCTGAGAGAATACTCTGTAAAGATAATGTCACTCAACTCAAATCATTCTACAAAAAAGATACCAGCTGGGCTCGGTGGCTCAGTCTGTAATCCCGCGCCTTTGGGAGGCTGAGGTGAGTAGATTGTCTGAGCCCGCGGGTTCGAGACCCGCCGGGCCAGCGAGACCTCATCTCTACAATAAATCAAAAAATCAGCCGGGCGTGGTAGCGCATGCCTGTAATTCCGGCTACTCAGAAGGCTGAGGTGGAAGGATCGCCGGAACCCAGCAGGTCGAGGTTGCGGTGGCCGGGAGTGGCCACTGCACTCCAGTCTGGGCGACAGAGTGAGACTCCGACTCAAAAAAAAAAAGATACCTGCACATGCATGCTTATTGCAGCACTATTCACAACAGCAAAAACACAGAACCAACCGTGTTGCCTGTTGAAACAGGACTGAATAAAAAAATGTGGAATATTATGCAGTCATAAAGAAGAACAAACATATGAACTTCACAGCAACTTGGATGGATTTAGCATCTCTAATACTTAGTGATCTATCACAGAAACAAAGAACAGAGTGCCACATGTTCACACTCAAAGGGATCCTGAACATTTACCATAATACTATAAGAAAAGGATTGGCAGTAAAGGAATACTGCCAGGGTGGAGGTGGGGACTCAACATCAATAAAAGTACCTGATCTCAAAGCAGGCAAAGTGGGGACCAAAGGGAGGCCCAAACTTTACCTGTACGATTTCCACTTGTATACCTAATCCTGAATTGTACCCCACATCTTTAAAATAAAATATACATTTTATTTTATTTATTTATTTTTTGAGCTGGAGTTTCACCCTGTCACCCAAACTGGAGTGCAGTGGCACACTCCTGGCCACTGCAGCCTGGACCTGCTGGGCTCCGCCTCAGCCTTCCAAGTAGCTGGAACTACAAGCGTGTGCTACCACGCCTGGCTAAAAACATAAATAAAAAAAAAAAGATAGTGTCACTCTATATTTACTATCATGGAAAGATGATCACATTGTTGAATTAAAATTATTCCAGGCCGGGAGCAGTGGCTCATGCCTATAATCCCAGCACTTTGGGAGGTGGAGGTGAGAGGATTGCCTGAGCCCAGGGGTTCGAGACCAGCCTGGGTAACTTGGCGAGACCTCATCTTCACAAGGATTGCCTGAGTCCAGCAGGTAGATGTCGCAGTGCCAGTGAGCATGCCACTGCACTCCAGCCTGGGTGACAGAGTGAGACTCCAATTAAAAAAAAAAAAGTTAAAAAAAAAAAGATTGCAAAAGAGCAATATATAGTATTAAGGAGTGAAAGTGTGTGTGTGGAGGGGGAGGAGATCTTTAAATATGTTATTGCAGATATAGTTAGTATGTTATATCTGTTAATAGCAGATATGCCCGAAGTGTAGAATTTCCAGTGATTTATACTTTCTTTTATATTTTCCTATACTGCTTTACTTTTTGCAATACAATTTTATTATTTTTTCTTTTCTTTCTCTTTTTTTTGAGTTGGAGTCTCACTCTGCCGCCCAGGCTGGAGTGCAGTGGCACGCTCACGGCCACCCCAGCGTCGATCTGCTGGACTCCAGTGAACCTTCTGCCTCAGTCTTCCAAGTAGCTGGAACCACAGGCGCGCACTCCCACACCTGGTTAATTTTTTGATTGGAGAGACGAAGTCTTACCAAGGTGCCAGAGCTGGTCTCAAATCTGCGGGCTCAGGCAATCCACTCGCCTCGACCTCCCAAAGTGCTTGAATTACAGGCTGAGCCACCGAGCTCGGCCCTTTCTCTTTTTTTCAATAGATAGGGTCTCCCTATGTTGGCCAGGCTGGTAACCCCTGGCCTCCTGCCAAGGCCTCCCAAAGGGCTGTGATTACAGCTGTAAGCCACTATGCCCGGTCAAAATTTTATTTTGATTTGGGAAAACAAAAATACTATGAAATTAATAAAAGACTCAAGGTGTCTTTGGTCTTTAAGGACAGAGACCAAGGACCCTTTCTCCATTCTTCACTGAGTACGATTACTTTTAAAATGAGAAGATATTCGAATACGGTGACAGTGATTATACTCTGACATGAAGCTCACATCTTTCTTCTTGGTTCCCAGGGAGGACATCTCTTTGGATGTCCTCTGGGGTTCCATGGGCAGGGGCTGCCGTTATTTATGCCTCAGCCATGCAGAATGGAGGCTTGTTCACCTTTTGCCTGAGTTCTCAAGGGGAGGGGCCCCCACAGTTGCTGGCAGCTCTATTTCAGCTGGTACACGCTGACTTCTCTAGGGATTGATGTTTATGTTCAAGTTTTTTGTGTGCTTTGATCTATTTTTTAAATTAAAAATTAATATCTTTTTTTTTTTTCTTAAGTTGGAGTCTCCCTCTGTCACCCAGATTGGAGTGCAGTGGCACGCTCCCGGCCCCCACAGCTTCGACCTGCTGGGCTCCGGCAATCCTTCCGCCTCAGCCTTCCAAGTAGCTGGAACTACAGGCGCGTGCTACCAAGCCCGGCTAATTTTTGTAGAGATGAGGTCTTGCCAAGTTGCCGGGGCAGGTCTTGAACCTGCAAGCTCAGGCAATCCACTCGCCTGAGCCTCCCAAAGTGCTAGAATTACAGACTGAGCCACCAAGCCCGGTCTAAAAATTAATATCTTTCTAGTGAATAAAATTTAACAAGTTAGCGTAATCCATCACTGAAATGAATGGCCGTTGGTCTTTTGAACATCCTTCCTTTTAATCCTTTCTTGATATACAACTGTGTATCTGGGCTTTTTCAACTATCATTTGAGTATTTCCCAGTATCACTTAAAACTCTTAAAGATATTTTTAATGGCCTAAGTCCAATTTTTATGAAGTAGTATTCATTTATTCCTAGATGTTCCAAGTTGAAGAACCTTTCATATGTACAAAATATATTTATTACAGGAGCCATGAGACAGATTCCTTTCCTGCCGCTAAAGCCTAGACCTGGTCCTTACCAATAACTGCAATCTCCCTACTCCAACACTCCATTGACCTCACTGGGATGAATAATCTCTTGATTGGCTTTTCATTGTTACTCAGCTGCCTTATGCCCTCATTTCCTTTCTTCCCCACACTAATTTCCATGGCTAGTTATTTCCATCACCCCCTGACATACACTCATCTTCCTCAACCCTCTTTTCCAGCTGAACCTTTAACGCTGGTTAAAGCCAACTCTCCGCCTTCTCTACATCTCTACCTGCATGACCACGGTTCAAGCCCTATTTTCAGTGCTGTCTCTACAGACATTCTTTAAGCATGGATCCTCCTTTCTATTTTCCCATGGGTGCCCTATTTGGTGACCATACAGCTGCTGTTTAGGCGTTCTGTTCTTGCCCATCCCTCCTCCCACCAACCCAATTAACTGACCCATCCTGCACTCCCTCTTGGCTGCTTTTCTCAGATTCTTTTCTCATCTCAGTTTTTTGACCTCTCTCTTGACTTTTGTTTGTTCCCTCTCTCTTCTCTACCCACCCGTCTCTTTCTCCAACCCCTAAAAGGAACACAGAAAGAACAGCCTGATTTAACAAAAGAACTAGCACTGGGTGTAGCATCAGGAGTCTCAGGTTCCCATCTTGCCTCTACTAGGTGACCCTGGGCTAGCCACTTTATGTCTCTGGTTCTCAGTTTCCTGCCTCTACAATAAGGCACATTCAGTTGAATAAACATGGAGATAATTCAACCCAGTTTTTAAAACAAACAACACGATTCTGAAAATTCAAGAAAGAAAAATTTAGCAGTTTCACTACCCTACTTTCCCCACCATATCATCCTTCTTCCATCACAATGCTAAGATAATGTCAACCATCTGGTGAGTATTAATATTGTTATTTTAGTGCTGAAACTCTCCTTGGCCCATCCAGGCGTCCCACCCAGTAACCATAATGGAAATCCAAACACTCACCGTGAATTTCTCATACAGCTCGTAAGTCAGAAGGGGGTTGGGCAGCTCCCTAAAGTAGAGCTTGCAGAGTGAGGCCACACAGTGGATGTCCTGGAGGTACACTTCCCTTGTCAGATCTGGACATTGATCCGAGCCAAACTCTTGCCTGAAACAACACAGACGGAGACATAACAATCCCAGGGAACATGTGTTCCATGTCAGCAGCTGCTTGGCTGCTTAGGGGTAAAAAAGACCCTAAACTGCTGATCTGGCTATATTTTGACCTTGATTGAAAAAGACCTTCTACTCCAGGCATAAAGAAGTCACGGGAAGTCTTCTACTTTAGGCCTAGCTCTTCCTTGCAAAATCTGCTGTGATTAGAAAGACAATGCTCATTTACAAATGGATTTCCCATGGCATGAGGTCTGCAGTTTTGGCTATCAACATTAGGGGAATATGAAAAAAATTGCCCAAAAAAGACCTATGAAGATTTCAGGTTTTCCAGATATTGTTAAATATGACCTTCCCTTTCTTACAGAGAAACTAAAACCAGGGTAGGTCAGACTGTTATCACTCATTTCCATATATCCATGTCAACAAACTTGTTTTATCTGGAGACTCGAGCGAACTTTAGTTGATTATCTCTTTGATGCTCAATGAAACCTTCTAGGTTGCCTGGTGATGACTCTTGCAGGATAGATGAGTTTATAAATACCTTCTTAAACAATCTATAGTGGGATGTCTGGGAACATCATCTGATTCTAGGCCTGGTTTCCAATTAGAAAATATTTCCTGCTGGGCGCAGTGGCTCATGCCTGTAATTCCAACACTTTGAGAGGCAGAAGCGAGAGGACTGCCTGAGCCTAGGGGTTTCAGACCAACCTGAGATCTCGTCTCTACAATAAATCAAAAAATTAACTGGGTGTGATGGTGCTACTTGGAAGGCTGAAGTGGAAGGATCACCTGAGCCCAGGAGGTCGAGGCTGCGGTAGCCATGAGCGTGCCACTGCACTCCAGCCTGGGTGACAGAGTGAGACCCTAGCTCACAAAAAAAGAAAGTATTGACCGGGCTCTGTGGCTCAGCCTGTAATCCCGCGCTTTGGGAGGCCGAGGTGAGTGAATTGTCTGAGCCCGCGGGTTCGAGACCCGCCTGGGCAACTTGGTGAGACCTCATCTCTACAATAAATCAAAAATTAGCTGGGCGTGGTAGCGCGCGCCTGTAGTTCCAGCTACTTGGAAGGCTGAGGCGGAAGGATCGCCGGAGCCCAGCAGGTCGAGGCTGCGGTGGCCGGGAGCGGCCGCTGCACTCCAGTCTGGGCGACAGAGTGAGACTCCAACTCAAAAAAAGAAAGTATTTCCTAAAAAGATTACATGAATACACTGCCTCAAATGTCATGTACTTAAAAGTTAAAAATTTGTATAAAAATGACAAATTGAGCTCTAACATAAAAGTCAGGTTTCTCAAGAGTATTAATTTGGTCAGCCAAGTGGTGACAAAGTCAGCAGGACTCTCAGAACCAGCATTTTCGAAATAGCTCACTGCCCGTTCTCCCGTCCTCTGGGTCTGCCCCTTTAATAAAGGGAGGGAAATCCCTGATGCTGTCAGAACCTGAGGGGAACTGAAAAGAGAAGTATGCCATGTCTCAAGAATTCACAGGCATGTGTGTTTTTAAGACAGCAGAACAAGAACAGTCTAGGGCTTATTCATTTATTTAGCCAAAAATTTCCTTTCCCAAAAGGCTATGGTCATTCCTTAAATGAGAAAGAATTGGCCACCACCCAAGTGTCGTTCCAGGATACTAACTACTGTGTAGTATGTTTCAGAATGAAGAGTAAACCATTAAGAAGTATTTGCTGTTGAAACGCTGACTAAGGGCACACTAATATATTAGTGAAATTATGTAAACACATAGGTTGATTAAGATCCATGCCTTAAAAAAAAAACCGAAATTTTTAAAATGACATCACTTCATTAGGAGCAAAAAGGGATGTTTTTATTCCTTTGGTATAATTTAATTACAATTGAGATTTGCAGAGGAGGAGCAGAAACCAAAGAGACAGGGGAAGAATACGAAAATGGAATTACCTGCACAATCTATTACATTTTACATATTAACTTCATTAAAAGTTTTTTACTTTTTAAAGTCTATATTTAGAACTAAAGAACATATAATAAATGTATGTAATAATAAAATGTTGTAATAAAAATAACATTAAATTATGTTATTTTGGTGTTAAAGAACAACATGTAAAATATATAAACCTATCATCTTAGTCAGAGAAAAGTATCTATAGATATTTTATATTTATATAGTCTATATACCATCATATGTATAGCACACACACCATTTCTGTGTTTTGTTTAAAGGATTGTGCCCTCTTAATCTAATGGGATAGAAATTTCTTCCAAATATTTAGGATAAATCCATAGAATTAAAAATAGTTCGCCAGGCATGGTGGCTCACACCTGTAATCCCAGCACTTTGGGAAGCAGAGGCGAGAGGACTGCCTAATCCCACGGGTTCAAGACCAGCCTGGACAACATGACGAGACCTCATCTCTACAATAAAATAAAATAAAATAAAAATTAGCTGGGCATGGTGGTTCACACCTGGAGTTCCAGCTCCTTGGAAGGCTGAAGCAGAAGGATCGCATGAGCCCAGCAGCTTGAGGCTGCGGTATCCATGAGCATGCCACTGCACTCTAGCCTGGGTGACAGAGTGAGACTCCAACTCAAAAAAAAAAAAAAGAAAGAAAGAAAATAGTTCATCTTCAGTAATTTTTAAAAAGCCAGTGTCAATTAGAGAAATGCATAATCATACGGCCTTCTGATTTCTCAACAAATAAAATATCCAATGTTGAGTGTGTGCCAACACAAAAACTCACTTCGATCTCAGAGTTCTGAACACTGTGTAACCGGAACCTAATCTTATTGAGCTTTGGGTAGGCAAGTGAACAATAATAAGTTACATTTTCCTAACTTGTAACTTACATCATTTGAGTTAAATGAAATAGACCTAAGAAGAATAAATCTACAGCAGGACAAAGAAACAGATTAAAAGTCCTAGGAACTTTTGTTGGAAAGAATTACATCAGGCTAGAGAGCTTCCTGATTAGATTAAGGAACAGTTGGGCATCTGAAAACAGATCTTCGTCCCTGCTACCTTTCCCTCAATCCCTTCAGGTTTTTAATATTCCTGACATGTGTGGACAGAGGCATGGACAGGAAAGATCATGCGAGAATTCCACTGGGACTATTTTTTCAGCTCACCTCAGCCGCTGTATGTTTGAGGTGACTCCTGAAAGCCGATAGATTCCATCCACAATACCATGAGTCTCGATAAATTCTGCGCAGCTCTTCAATACATATGGAACTATGTAAAGGAAAAAAAGAAACAAGAAGGCATTAGATGTACACCTGACTGCCCTTTAAAGACAGCCTTTTAAAAATCCAGGTAACTTCAAAGAGAAATAAGTACAAAACTCATGTGAGCTACAAGTGGAAACAATTAATTGTAAGTGGTAGGTGATGTTCTTTTGGTATTTCAAAAGCTCATAGGGTTTTGTTAAAGTGTTAAAACCTCGTGTGTTTTAAGAGTTTTTTTTTTAAGAATTTGAAAAATATGCAAATATTTAGATTTTTAGACCAACAGTGACCTTGAATAGCCCACAGCTCAGTCTCCTGATTTCACTGGCTCTCCAAGCGTGGTCCCCTGATCAACATCAGAATCTCCTGGGAACTTGGCAATGCAAATCCTTAGGTCCCACTCCAGACCTACTAGATCAGAAATTCTGGGGCCCAGCCATCTGTGTTTTTAGCAAGCCTTCTGGGTGACTGACGCATGCAGAAACTGGAGAACCAATGACCTATTCTACATATAAACACATCAAGACACAAGTTAATTTACTTAACACACTCATGATTACCTGTTGCTTATGAAGAACAATTAATACATGGGAAAACACTTACAATATAAGTAGATAGGAAAAAAAAGACACAACATTGAATATACATTGTGAATTAAAAAAATAATTATGGGCCAGGCTCGGTGGCTCAGCCTATAATCCCGCGCTTTGGGAGGCCGAGGTGAGTGGATTGCCTGGGCCCACGGGTTCGAGACCTGCCTGGGCAACTTGGCGAGACCTTACCTCTACAATAAATCAAAAAATTAGCCAGGCATGGTAGCGCGCGGCTGTAGTTCCAGCTACTTGGAAGGCTGAGCGGAAGGATCACCAGAGCCCAGTAGGTCGGGGCTGTGGTGGCCAGGAGCGTGCCACTGCACTCCAGTCTGGGCAACAGAGTGAGACTTCAACTCAAAAAAAAAAAAAATTATGGCCAGGCACAGTAGATCACATCTGTAATCCCAGCATTTTGGGAGGCCAAGGCAAGAGGACTGCTTGAGCCCAGGAGTTTAAGACCAACCTAGGCAACATAATGAGACCTTGTCTTTACAGAAAAATCAAAAAATCAACTGGCCGTGGAGGCATGCATCTGTAGTTCTAGCTACTCAGGAGGCAGGAGGATTACTTGAGCCCAGAAGGTCGAGGTTGCAGTGAGCTGTGATCGTGCCACTGCACTCTAGCCTGAGTGAGAGAGCAAGACCCCGACTCAAAAAAGTTTTTTTGTTTTTTGGGTTTTTTTGAATTGGAGTCTCACTCTGTCGCCCAGACTGGAGAGCAGTGGCCACTCCCGACCACCGCAGCCACGACCTGCTGGGCTCCGGGGATCCTTCTGCCTCAGCCTTCCAAGTAGCTGGAACTACAGGCACGTGCTACCACATCCAGCTAATTTTTTGATTTATTGTAGAGATGAGGTCTCACCAAGTTGCCCGGGTGGGTCTCGAACCTGCGGGCTCAGGCAATCCACTCACCTCAGCCTCCCAAGGCGTGGGATTACAGGCTGAGCCACCGAGCCCGGTTTCAAAAAATGTTTTTAAAAAATTGCAAAGGAAAAAGAAAATTGCAAAGAAAGAAAGTTTGCTAAAATGTAGAATGTTAAAGGTGATTTAAAGGTCAAAGTGTTCATTTTTTTTAAAGGCGAGAGACATCCCCACAACCAACAAATGGGTCAAATGAGTCACTGATTTCATGGACCACATAGAAGGAACCAACATGGCTTCTTGAATTCTTATTACTCCAGAGGTTCAGTGCCCTGGTAGAAGGGTCTAGCTGTGCTATTCTCTCCTTCAGGCTGCCCTGGAGCAGTCCAGACAACCTAGTGACCAAGAAGGGAAGATGCAAGGCCTTTGGGGTGGTGCAAAGAGAGTGGAAAGTCACTTGCTACTTTGGTCCCTGGACAGATTCACCTGAGGGTCCCCCCATCCTGTGACAGTGCTGAGAAAGGTGGCTGGATATGGAACAATTCACGCCTCAGACTCTGAAGTCTTCGGTGGCTCCTGGGGCACAGAGGTGATGTGGAACTTCCGTGAATTAATGCTCAAGTCAGCATTGTGAGCATGCCCTCAACACACACCCAAGCCATTAATGCTGCAGATTATATCAATTGCTAATTCATTAATGCTTATTGTTCATGCTCATGCCTACACACAATGCCAAGTTAGAATGGATCTTTGTGTGGGTAGACACCAGGCAATCAGGCTCAACAGAGAATTCTACCTGAATTCTCTATTATGACACTTTCTATGCAATCCCTCCCCTTGTTGCCTTTATTAACTGTAATTTCAGGGACTTGATAAAGTACATCATACTTGAAATATTTTGCCGTCTCTCAAAGACTGCATGCCCAGAGCCCTTCTCCCCAGCACACTCATGCTTGCCCTTGTGCTCCATGACTGGAACTGGGGAGAATCTTCTCAGTTGATCCAGATGGGAAGAGGTCAGGGAGTGAATGTGGGATTGGAAATATTGAGGCCAGAGACCACAGAGGTGGAACCACCTTCTATGAGTGAACGCAGGGTGAGGGTAGGGTGTGGTGGAAGTGCTGTGGGAGTGGACAGGGGTGTAGAGCCTCTGCCCATCTTCAACCAGAAGAGGTACGATTAGATCTGTTTTATAAAATTGAGTTCTTGGTGAGATTTTGTTTCCCATCCTCATACAAACTGATACACAAGAGTTTCAGTGCTTAAAAGGACACACATACACACACACATTTTTTGTTGTTGTTGAGTAGGAGTCTCACTCTGTCATCCAGGCTGCAGGGCAGTGGCACGCTCCTGGCCACCGCAGCCTCGACCTGCTGGGCTCAGGCGATCCTTCCGTCTCAGCCTTCCAAGGAGCTGGAACTACAGGCACACGCCACCATGCCTGGCTAATTTTTTGATTTATTGTAGAGATGGGTTCTCACCAAGTTGTCCAGGCTGGTCTCGAACCTGTGGGCTCAGGCAATCCTCTCACCTCAGCCTCCCAAAATGCTGGGATTATAGGTGTGAGCCACCACGCCCAGCCCACACGCATATTTTAAAATTCCTGTTATGCAATATAACAGTCAATTATTTCCCCACCATACCTAGCTGTAAATGCCACATGCAAGTTTGGACATCAAACTGCCTCTAATCTTAAACAAAATATACAATGATTCTGTTTATCCGTTTCCACATCTGAAAAATGAGGGTAATAGTGATATTCATCTCATAGTTAGGACTGAGTAATACCTGCAAACATTTAGCACAGACCCTGACAAACATTTAGCACAGACCCTGACATGGAATATGCATTCCACAATAACAGTTACTATTTCTACTTGTAACTTATCTGTGCTATTAACTTAAGGCTTGTTTTTCTTGGTGAAAACAGATCTTGCCTCCTCTTATCCAGTGGACACTTGGGGTGGCAGACCAGCCTCACACTGGTTGACATTCATCTCCACTAGAATGGCTGTTGTGTTCTTCTTAAGTAATTCTTTCTATTTGAGAGTAAGTTTGCTTCCATGGGGGTCTCTTTCCTGTGCACCTAGGTGTATCTTTGTAGCACAAAGGCAGTAGGATCCAACAGCGTGGCTTGCAGGTTACATCTGAGAGTTGTGCTTGGCCCTCCTGGTGTTCTGCTCTTTGAATCTGTTTCGAGGTGCATGGCTGTTGTGCTGTGCTGGGCACAAGTTGACTGAAGAACTCTGAGCATTGTTGGGCATGGTGGCTCAAGCCTGTAATCCCAGCACTTTGGGAGACACAGGTGAGAAGATTGCCTGAGCCCACAGGTTCGAGACCAGCCTGAGCAACATGGTGAGACCTAGTCTCCAAAATAAATCAAAAAATTAGCAGGCGAGGTAGCTCGTGCCTGTAGTTCGGGCTACTTGGAAGGCTGAAGTGGAAGTATTACCAGAGTCCAGCAAGTCGAAGTTGGAGTGGCTGTGAGTGTGTCACTGCACTCCAGCCTGGGCGACAGAGTGAGACTCCAACTCAAAAAAAAAAAAGCCGGGGCTCAGTGGCTCAACCTGTAATCCCAGCACTTTAGGAGGTTGGGGGGAGTGGATTGCCTGAGCCCAGGTTCGAGACCAGCCCGGGCAAATTGGCGAGACCTTGTCTCTACAATAAACCAAAAAATTAGCCGGGCGTGGTAGTGTGCGCCTGTAGTTCTGGCTACTTGGAAGACTGAGGCAGAAGGATTGCTGGAGGCCAGCAGGTCGACGCTGGGGTGGCTGTAAGCGTGCCATGGCACTTCAGCCTGGGTGACAGAGTAAGACTCCAATTCAAACAAACAAACAAAAACAAAAAAGAACTCTGAGCATTCACAAGGAGGACTCAAAGACAAAATCCTTGGACGCAAAGGTCCTTTATAAAGAACACTCTATAAAAGGGGCAGTGCAGAGTCACCAACCTGTCCCAGCCAGATCTCAGATCGGGACCTCCCATACCATAGCTCTCAGCTGCAGAACTTCAGGATCTGTTTGTTTTAAAGGTAGGGAAAGAACATTCCCAGACGGAGCTTCTGCCATGAATTTATTCTGGCTTTGCCATGGATGACCTAGAACCTCTCCTTCAGGGCCCTGTTTTAGCTGTAGGCAATATTAAAACAACCCAAGGGAAGAGGGCATGGTCCCAATCCCTGTGGAGCTATCCCTGGATTCTCATCTTGGTCTGAGCTGGAAGGTGCAGGAATTCTCCATCATTATTACTCAGTAATGGGAAGGGATTCAATCTCTGTGTCATCATCTAACTCTAGACACTGGTTCTCAGATTGTGGTCCCTGAATCAGCTCCTGCAACAGCCATAGCTTCCAGACAATTCTGATGCACATAAAAGTTGAAGAACTATAGTCTAGACCACAGCTTCATATACTTTAATGTGAGTACTAATCACCCGGGGTCTCTTAAGATGCATATTCCAATTCAGTAGAGAAGGGGGTGGAGGAAGTGTCGAGAATTTGCATTTCTAACAAATTCCCAGGTCTGTGGATATTGCCAATCTGCAGCCCACAC